GGGGGGGGGAGCGTGGGGGGAGGGGGAATGTATTTTCACAGAATCACAGGATCTCAGAATGGCCAGGATTGAAAGGGACCTCAAGGACCATGAATCGCCAACCCCCTCTGCCACATGCAGGGCCACCAACCTCCCCATTTAATGCTAGACCAGGCTGCCCAGGGCCCCATCCAACCTGGCCTTGAACACCTCCAGGGACAGGGCATCCACAGCCTCACTGGGCAGCCTGTTCCAGCACCTCACCACTCTCTGTAAAGAATTTTCCCCTGACATTCAACCTAAATCTTCCCTCCCTCAACTTAAAACCATTTTCCCCTTCTGCAGTTATCAACCCTTTCAAAGAGTTGATTCCCCTCCTGTTTGCAAGCTCCCTATTTTGCAAGAACTGTTCATTTTCTTTCTATCAGTAACAATGATTAGGTACATAGCTACTTCTCTGTGAAGCTACCAGCTAACACTTTGTTGATGAACTAACCATAGGACTATTTTACAGTATGTTTTAATGGTTCAAGGAAGTGTAAAACAAACTATTTAGGAAATTAAACTGAAATCTGGAAGCCATTGTCTTGATACACACAATTATGGAAATAAAATTCAATTTTGTGGCAAATTCAATTTTGCGTTCAATAATATTATAGAAGTAAACAAAAAATGAAAGGAAGATTTACAAATAAATGTTACAGAAATATTACATGTGCTTTCAGACTGAGATTAACAAATAATAAAGGACTCGATCTCTAAAATGCATGGCATGTGTTCATGCATTCCTTCTAAAACCTGACTGACTGAGTATGTTGGTTTTTGTTGTTCTTGTTGTTGTTTTGCATTTGCTGAAAGATGTTTAGTGCAAGTACTGACAAAAATTAAGTGAATAAAATTATTTTTGTCAGAATTATCACATCATATTTATGTTTTCATTTAATCTCTTGAGTTTACAATTATTGATAACATATTCAATGCAAGTATACATGCAATGCAAGCATATAATCTGCATTCAGTTTTCTAAATTTCTTGCAGTTCTTACTTGCTTTAACTAAGGAGCATAATGATCTAAAAATTAGGCTCTGATTAGGTTGAGTGAGTAAGAGGTTTATCAGTGCCAGGGCCTCTCTAGGATTTCAACAGGTGATAGAAATCTTCCTCAATCCTTGCTGCAGTGGGAGAAGAACTGCTTTCTTCAAAATATTTTTGTTCATCATCTATGACATCTGTTTCATTAGGCACTGAGGAAGATAAATTTTTAAAGGAATACATGATTTGCTGTGTCGGTGCCACTCTACTTGGAAGCAGCGGAATGGAAAACGAACTCCTTTGTGGACTATTTCTTGAAACAGCACCAGATAATTACTAGAATATTATCCATAACTAAGTATTCTTCATGTGATATCAAACACATGTCATAGGGGACAGGTATGCTGTAGCATAATTGCACTTAAATTTCTATTTTTGTTCTTTATAAAGCACTTTATATTTCCTTACAGTTATGTTTTACTGCTAGCATACAAGTGAAGACTGTATTTTAGATTTATCTGGCCACAATACCACTGCCGCTGAAGAGGTACAACATGAACTATGGGGATTTTTTTCCGTGTGGCAGATCGCATTCAGTTCAGTCCCTTGAGTGTTAGATATTGCTCTTCTTATGAACTTCAACAAAAAATCTGTAGGATCTTTTTCTGCCTTCTTGAGACAGGACTTTTAGTATGCCAGAATGTCTAACTTATCTGCACTGCACTCTTAAAATAGTTTATGAGAAATCTTTCTGAAATACTTTCGATCTTTTAATACGGTATTTTATTCAGGAAGGAGCCCACACATCTTTGTCTGATTCACTCTGATTGAAATGAAACAACGTGACAGAGTCTGTAAGTTGGTCTTTAGAAAGTGAAGTAAAGATGACGACCTGGAGGAATCCTTTGCACAGAAAGTTCAAAAAATGCTAGTGATGAAACCCTAACTGCCCAGCAATGACTGTCACAGATGTTATTTTTGCAGATAACAGTCTTATGGAACATGAAGCATTAGTCATATCTTTTAAATAATTCAAGAGAATATTAATATCCTCCAACCGCCTTGGACTTAAGAGTGACAGGTGTCACTCTTAAATTACCTTCTCGAAAAAAAAAAAACAAAACAAAAAAAAAACGCAGACTATTCAAGACATGAACTTACTTCAGAACCACCAGATTTAAGTACCTGATCCTCCACAACTTTTGATCCAAAGGAACAGGTTGATATATCTTACATGGCCAGACACGTCAAAAGAGACTTTGGTCTCTTCCTAATACGTATTGATGGAAATCTCTAAGGAGGAAAAACTTGTATTAGTGTGGAATAGAAGATCTGGAAAGAGTCCTCTGAGTGATTTAAAAAGACTGTGAGGATTCAGTCTGCCAGTGGCCTTTCCCGGTTTCAGTCAGGGAACTGCTGTAACAAATGAGAGTTAAAAAGAGCTAATAAAACAAATATGCTGGTGGGCAGAGTGGTGTCAGGAGGGCCTGTTTGACAAATGCTGTTAAGGGAGCTAGAGGCATGCCTTTTTCAGAGACGGATTGTATGTTAGGCTGACAAGGATGAGAAAATGGGATTGTGCACCTGCTTGTGGCATGCACCTTGCACTGCTTCTGCCTTACCTTCCCCAAGACTGCACAGCACCCAGACTTCTGTCATGCAGCTCTTTGCAATTGTCTCACTCCAATTTATCTGAGGGAGAGAAGGTTCTTTGATAAATGTATAAATGTGGCGTGAGATTAAGAAGAAACCATTCAAATGTTGGTCGACCATTTTTTTACAAATCCTAATCAGGGAGATGGGAAAGGAGATGCTGGTGACCTGCTATGAATTAGGGTGATGGGGAAGGGAAGGTGGGTGATAGAAAAGATAGGAAAGAAGCAAAAATTGTGTAAAGCGGGAATAGTCACCACCAGGATTCAGCAGCATCCCGTTGCACGCTGTTCCAATGGTCTGAGGCAAAAGAACAGGGGGAGAGCAGCATGGTCGGCCTTGGGCAGCAAGCAGTTACCAGGAAGAAGAAGCAGGTTAAGTTCAGGAGGAAGCAGCAGGTCCAGGAGAATCCATCAGCATGCAGGCGTTCCATAGTAAGGGATCTGATGGCAGACACCTCTTGGGGGAGAGCAGCAGCAGCATGGTTGGCCTTAGGCAACAAGCAGGCAGAACGCAGAGCAAGTCCAGGAGGGAGAGAGGCAGGTCATGAGGCTTCTCATGTCAGAAACATCAGCATGATTGTAGGTCCCCTTTTTTATCCTTCTCCTGCCAGCGTGGCATTCCTGGGCGCTTGAGTAAGAGTCATGTGCAGCACCCCCTGAGATGGCCATCTTCCTCAAGATAAGCCCACACAAAAGACTGCTTCCCAGCCATTAATCTGTGGCTTATCTCTCTCGTTTCCCCTGGCCTTGTTCATCTGTGTCCCTCAGACAAAGGATTTTGCAACCCTTGCCCAGGACTAATCCATTTGTGTTTTCCAGACAGAGGATTTCTCAATCCTGGTCAGGGACTTGCTTGGTCTTGTTCATCTGTGTTCTCAGCAAGCTTTGAGACAATGATGTAAAAGAACAATCTCTTACAGCAGTATGGGAAACATAAATGGAATCGTGATTATAAGCATGACATTGGTGATGTGTGAAAAGGTGCATCTGCTGGTTGTCTGTTCTCTTCATGCTTTTGTACAGTTTTGATGCCATGTTGCTTTCACTTCTGCTGCAGCCTACCCAGTGTTGTGTTCCTCAGCTCTGTTTCACAGATGTAGAAAAGAGAATACTTTTTGCTTTTACTCTGCAGTGTGGAGTAGTACTGCTATATATGCCTTCTGCAGAAATTAAGTAAAACTCTAGTTACCTTCCCTCTCTGAAACAAAAAAACAAACAAAAAACCAAAAAAACTCACAAAACCACCTTCACTCTCACCTTTGTCTGTTACCTAAGTAACAAGAAACACAGCTTCTCCTTGTTCATCATGAAGAAGCACTATGAGATGGAATGAAATCCAAACATCAGGCTATGGTTGTTTCACAAATCCTCTTACCAGGCATCAATGACAGCATGTTTGAACTGTCTCAATGGCTCAAATCAGGAGAGGAGAAAGTGATCACAGAATAAAATCTTCTGGACACGAGGGATGCAAAATGGGATTTTATGGCCAAATACCCACTTGAAAAGATGTTTACAAATTTAACATACAGAGTGAAGACATTATTTCCAACACCCATAGAAAAGCCATAGTCACAAAACTCTATAACTGGAGGCCAAACCCCCTTTATGGAGAAACTACCCATGTCCCCATCTGGGTTTAGGGTGGCATTCACCCTGCAGGCACAAGCTGCCAGCAGCTCCTTGGCAGCTGCAGCCCATGCCAGCTGTACCAGGCTGCCCACAATTTCCTCAGGGCCTGAGAATGTGATCAGGAGCTTCCAAAAGTCCCCAGTGTCCTTGCCTTGCTGTCCAAGCCCTGGAGACGCAGCTGAGGACATTCTGCTTTGTGTCTCTAGGTAATTCTTTTATTTTCATTTAAACAGTAAATTTGGAAAGAGCAATGGTCTCTTTAGTACCATTGCATTCCTTTGCATTTGATCTGTCTGTTTTTTGCTATTCCAGGGAGGCAGGGGGAGGAGTAAGAAGGACATAGTAAGACTTTGCTGTATCTGTGGTACAAACAAGTATTTTTTATGGTTTGTATTAGAAAGTTGACTTGGACTTGTGTTGGAGCTTGAGCTCCAACATGTGATTGATGTGATTGACAGTGACAAATGGTAACACTATTCAAGGAAAATTAGTATATACCTGCTATGATGAGTGATAAAGGCATTAAAGCTCAAGTTTATTTCTGCTTTTAAAAGATCCTTTATTTTTCAGAAGTACTTTTTTCAGTGCAGTTGCAGCTGTCAGCACTGACAGGGTTGAGTTAATTAATTAATATCTTTTACTCATGCTCTGTAAAAACTCTAAATAACCTAATTAAAAATCTGTTTCAGTTTTCTTTTTAAGTAGTGATAACAATGATAATAACAAAGCAGGTCCTTCATCTGCAATTCTGACTTTGATCTGCCCAAGACTGTGGCTTGAATAAGGGAGAAAAAAAGAGGAAACAGAAAGAAAAATTACAGCTATTGTCAAAATGAAAATATTTTTCCTTTAATATTCTATATTTTCATAAATTTGTGTGATGCCATGCAATTTATTTCCTATGGCTGATGGTTGCTATAGTTCTTTATACCTTTTTCTCCTTTCTTCTGTATCAATCTCACTCTGTATGCTTGTGACGCATAACAGATGCCAGTGTTCTTGAGAATTTTCTGGCACAGATTTGTGTACTGTTGAGTGGAAGGCAGACTTTGTGTCACAGCTGCTGTGACTTAATCACAGCTGCTGCCTTTCGTATTACATGAGTCGAAGAATTATTTTCAATTGGACATAGCTGCCAGTTCACTTCCAGGAGCTGATATCTATCCCATCTGTGGAAATTCATAACTGTACCAAGTTCTGATATTCCAAGGAAAACATGGAGTTTGAAAGTGAAGAAAGATCTTCTGTAAATAACAGCCCAGGAGACACAAAGTGTCTTCATGACCACTTAGAGATACAATCTGAATCACACACAGGGGGGACATCTAGTAGAAGTTCTACTTATTTGCAGGGAATGGTTAAGACACACAAATTTTATTTTCTAAATTTATTTCCACAGTGCTGTTGGTTTAGTCTAGAAAATTCTTTCTATTCAGGGAATCCAAATCCTTAGTGTTTTTTCTTAGAAGAGCTAGGGAAGAATTAAAATCTGATACTCTTGAGGCCTTGGCTGGAATTATTTTTGTGGGGTATCTTTTGCTAATATGACTGAGGGGGACAAGTCAAAGCCTGTGTGCCTAACACGTGATCTTTAGCTCAAGATAACATAATTTAACTTAATGAACATAATGTATAATAACATAATGACTTGCCACAAGCAGAAGATAAGTAGCTAAATGAAAATAAAGTGAGGCTTCCCCTTGTTTGTTAAGGTCAGAATGAGTAGACTGTCTTGAGCTACCCCAGTGGAGTTTACACTAGAGAGGATACGTAGAGTACTAATTTTACCCCATATTATTTTTCAAGGTACTTGGCACAGCAACATGTATTTTTCTTTGTCTTTTTTAGAATGCTTTTGCCAGTATGCTCAAATATGAGCATCTGAAAATAATAATAATAATAATATTAATGCTGGTTGCTGCAGATTTTTTTTTTTAGGAGTAAGGTCTGAGACAAACTTGAAAAGTCTCAGTGTAAATTTGGAGTTGGGTCTGAATTTTGCAGCTCAGAAGTAACTCATTTATTTTGCTACATATATTTCTGTGATGAATTAGGGCTGCTCCAAAAGTAATGCTCCCTATTTTATTATGTTGGCCCCTGATATCTATGGCGTCCCCGCCAATATCCCCTGACATTTTTTTGCCATGTGACAGATGACAGCAGAGGGGTGGTCTGACAGAATGAAATACTGACAGGGAAGTGCTTTTGAAGCAAAGGTGTGTCACTGAATTCCTCCATGTGGGAAAAAGCAGCAGCCACTGACATTCATCAACACTTGCTGAACATTGATGGAGACCAAACAGTAGATGTGAGCAGAGTAAGGCAGTGGATGGTGTGTTTCAGCAGAGTGGTGACAGCAACAGTAGTCACCTCTTCTGATGCACAGCTTGTCATGCAGTCTTGTTCATTGCTGTCAGAAATGCATAGCTTATAGTGGTGGTTATTTTGAAAAAGAGTGCTGTATGGCTGAGGATGTGCCCTATCAACTAGTGTTGCACTCTTTGTTTATGTTGTAGTTTCCATGGAAATAAGTAAGTGGCACTACTTTTGGAGGGACCTACATACTTCTGAGTCTTGTGATTTTAAAATAGGAAATTGTTTTCAAAGTTTTGAAAGCACTGTCATTTTTTCTCCCTCTTCTCAAACAAAAATATATCAGAAGGCATGTAGTCATCTTTCTTTGAAAGAGTATTTTTGATCAGGAAGCACTCTAAGTTTGTTAGGATGCTAGAACTGTTCTCACTCTATATTCTGTCAACAGCAGCCCACGTTTCTATTATTTGGCCACTGCTGTATTCTGTACAACATTTACCTTGGATGCAACTTTTTCTATAGAAAAAGACTATTAAAGTGACTTTCTGAACATTACATATTAAAAAGGATTCAGTTCCAGATATACCTTCTTCACTACCTGGAGGCTTTCTGTGAAAATTTCCCAGGTATAAAAGTAAAGCCACAAGTACTGTAATAAGAAAATTCTCTCTTAAAATAGAAAAAATAAAGTAGATTAAATGAAAAAACAAGGCACAAAATATGGAGTTGCTAAATCTCATTCAAACTTCTCTAAGTTGACATGCTGCAGTAGATGCCCTTCCTGAATTTAGCTCATAGTATCACAATAGATTTAAAGAAAACACACCAAAACAAGGAAAGTTGCTCCATACTAATTTTTCTTCACTGTCTCTACAGATATATCAGAGAAAGGATATCTTGTAACAACCTTGTTTCCTGGGTTTTAAACAGTTTTATAATCAGTGGACCTTATTAGATGTTAGAAATGATTAATCAGAATGTCACACTCAGACTGGTTACTTCAGCAATTTGGTAGTATTATGTATAACTGGGAGTATTATCTATGGTAAAGTGGAACACTCAGTATCATAGATATTTTCTTCTGTATCATGACTTTTTATCATGTAGCTTTGGAGAAAATTCTTTCTGTGAAACCTAACCTGTGAAATGTCCCTTAATGAGCCTGGAATGCCAAGGTGATGTGACCCCAGTGTACCTGTCAGCTGTCCCCCAGCAAAGGTTGACTTGAATTCAGAGCAGTCAGCCTACAGAGAGAAACAATCATAATTATATTCTGCACTCATCTGTCAGTAGTTGACATTAAATGTAGGACAGATCTACCATGGTGTTCAATTAATTGTCTCCTACACATTAAAGTAGGAGTTTATAAGTATTATGTATCTAACTCTCACTGAAAAAATGATTCACACTGATTTATCAGAAGGCTTACTATTTATGGTTTATAACAATGCTTAAATGTTACTAAATTTAATCACAATCAGACAGTATATCTAGATTTTTTTTGTTCTATGTCTATAGTATATCCATAATAAATCTAATTTTGTCATATTGATTCCCAAAATCTTGCAACTCTCATTCATAAAATATTAATCATGAAAGAAAAACAATTATTTTAGAGTTTTACTAATGCTCCATAGAAGGTCAAAATGACTATATTGCTGACTAATCACAAGGGCATCAGAATCTGAATCTGCTCATGTTTTATAATGAAAAACAGAGTCTTATCACTGCAGCTGAATGAAAGTCTCACTCCTAAATAACAGACAAAAAAATCAACAATAAAAAGACTGGAAATGCCTACTTCAGAGAAATCCATCCAGTACCAATCAAAATACTAGTATTTTTCTTTATGGGTATATAGGCTCACCAACAGACGTAATTCAAATCCTCTATTTGCTTCTGCATGTGTTTTTGCTATTCACCGGATTGAGTACCTCTCACTTCCTCTCTAGCTTTATACCTCCATCCTGTATTTGTTCTTATCAGATAATTGCTGACTATTTCTGATTACAGCATACTCCCAGGATTCATAATATATACGGGAGGTAAGGTTAAGTATCTTGTCCATGACTCTGAAGTCCTGAACATGCACTAACATACCAAATCTTTTGCTTTTGCTTAGCTTGATTTTGTAGCGCTGAACTCCAAGAATTCCTCAGTAACGCGTTAGAAGACAAGCTCAAATTTCATTCTAAATTTGCTTGTTGACCAACAATTTTACTTAATGCTTCCTTGAATCAGTACAAAAGACTTCCCTCTTAACACTCAGTAATTCAATGTGGTGTACTTTCTCTATTCCCTTTTCAATAAGGTGGCAACCCAAGAATCATCTCAAAAAACATCTGTATATTTCTACTTTGATTATATGAACAACATAACTTTTTCCAGCTAAAGTCATTTTGTATTTTTGTGATTCTGTGATTCATCTATAAACAGGATTTTGTAGTACAACTTCTGAAACAGTAAACCTCAGACTCTTCCTAAGATAAAATACTCCAATAAATAAATGATTTTATTTGATTCGTTAGTTAGGACTTCCGCTGAAATACACATTATCTGAGATCAAGGCACATGGTTACATACAGACATCTGTAGCAGCACATAGCTGCTGTTAGTAAGACTGTTTTCTCTACTCAGAAAGCCATAAAGAGAAATCTTTATTTTGTTTGTATTTAACACAGACTTTTATAACTCAGGAATCTGAGAAGGGACTCAAGCCAAGAGCATTTCCCCATTGTGTCTGAGACCTGATGGGAAGAAAATGAGGAGAAATTTTGTAAGTCCAAGTTTGCATATTACTTGTAAGAACCGAAGTAATTTTATATTTTCTATTTTTGTTATGGTTAAAAATATGAACAAGGAGGGAGAAATGGCATTTTATACAAGATGATGT